AACTAATTTCTTTATACTTTGAACATTGTGGCATTTCCTGGAGACAGATTATGCATGTTACCCAGCGCTCCTGGCAAAGTGCCAAGCGGTCCCGGCGAGTGAGACGGTGTGAAATAGCTCTGGCAGAAATGTTAGAGCGCTTTCCGAAAATCGGCCGACTACCAATCGAGATGGTTTGAGTCTTTTTTTGTAATTGCCCACTTCTGGACCGTGATGACCACTACTTTATCGATTGGGAGGTAGTTGTTTGGATGTTGTGATTAGCTGTTGTTCATCACCATCTTCTTCTGCTGCTGCCGCTGCTGCTGTGCATCCGGCTGTTTGTCCAGTTTTCTTCACCTACATCTATTTCTTCCTGTCACTTGTCTTGCAAATTAGACACATGACTATTCAAAACATGGCGGGTAGGAGGTTGTACTGATGATTCCCACTCCTACCCGCATGCACAGTTCGGTCTGTATTTACAGCTAAGGGATGAAACACAGACTACGTCATAAAATGTCTTCAAACACATGACATTCAAGTGAAATTCTTCTGTTCTTCTATTTCTTTGGCCGGTGCTGCGTGACCTGGTGATTCTGTCGTGCTGCTTCACCTGGTGGTCAGTCTTCTGGCGATCCTAACGTTCGCGTTCAATAATTTCTTTATGCTTTGGAGATTGTGGCGTTTGTTCCGGACGATCTGTACCCGCGTGATGTCATCGCTGAGTGCTTCTTCCGCGCGGAAACGCCCACCCTCCAGGGAGGTGGACACTCCTCTGGTGGACGTCGCTGGCGACGGCGGAGACGACGATGGTGCGGCGTTGTCAGTGCAGCCGTGTGGCTACAGTTGTTCGTCCGATCCGGAGCCCGCTACCCTGGACTCACATTATCGTTGGTTAGTTCGCTTTCCCGTACTTTTTTTTGTGCCATGTTTAAATTGCGGTAATTTTTCGCGCCATACTGCATTTACGCCGTTGTTTTGTGTGCTGTATATTTGATGTTGAAATTTCGTCTGTTTTTACACTTTCCGCTTCACTTTTACCATTAGACACAAGCAAGTACGTTGTTTGGTATTCTATATATTCGTTGTTGAAATTTCGTCTGTTTTTACACCTTCCTTCTACCATTAGACGCAAGTATACTGATAAGACTTCGTTACAAAAATTACTTTCTGCCCACGCCCAGTTAGGCTTCTTTACTTCAGTTTGTGTTTACAGCTAAGGGATGAAACACAGACAGACAGACTGCTAAACCCATGCCCAGTTAGGCTTTCTTACTCCGATTTGTGTTTACAGCTAAGGGATGAAACACAGACAGACAGACTGTTGCATCGCGTGAAATGTCTTCTTACACATGACACTTAAGTCCAGTCCCTCTATTCTACTATTTCTTACTCTAAAATAAGTTCGTGTAGGTCTTTTTCTTGCGCCATAATTCAATGGCAAATAGCGCTTTTCGCTTGCTGAGGACCGGAGATTCGACTCCGCCACTGAGGCATTCGATCCTTCAACGATTTGTTCATTTATTTCGATGATAATCTGATTATCGCATGATTGTAGCATGAAAGTAATATGAAGAACGTAGAAAAGAAGGCAGGGAAGGACGAACTATGTAATGCAAGAGGAAGAAATATTGCTGATACAGGAAAAGTAAGTACGAGAGAGTTAAGACGTTTCGGTCCACGAAGTCATATATGTCTTAGCTCAACACCGCGACTGGACCTCGTAAATTGGTACTCATACAGAGTGAATAAGAGTGGATTTTTAACTCTTAGTGTAACTTATAATGTCTG